AAAAAAAACAAAAAATAAATAAATAAATCGGATCTAGAAAAAGAATTAATTAAAAAAATTCAAAAATCACTATTCTACCAAAAAAAAAGGATTTTAAAAATAAAAATAAGAAAATTAAAAAATAAAATGAAGCGACTACACCTGAAACGCAATCCAATTTCTCTTCTCTTCTCTTCCGTCCCGTAGTCCCACAATGCTCCGGTACCCCACCTTTTGCTATTCCATCGTGCATAATCAAAGAGAAACAAGAATTAAACTGAGATAACAGATCAAGTAATGAAACAAAAAAGAAAAAAATAATGAAACAAATCCAGAAAAAAGTAAATAAAAAATTTTCTTTGTGCTTCCCCGGCAACGTTGCCAAAAACTTGGTATGTCCGGAAGCGCATCATTAATCACTCTGGAAAACCAGTTCAAATATTTATAATTTTTTTGTTTCTCACAACAACTATAAATGTAGTAAATGGTGAGAACGGGTCGTATCCACAGGGAAGCAAGGGAAAAATAATTACGTACTTAGATCCGGGAGAAGAGAACGCAAGTGGGAGTTGCAGAAATAAAAAATTAAATAATTAAAAAAATGGAATTCATTAAAACCAAATTCGAATAGTATTGAGAATAACAAGTGCATAAAAATAAATAAATGACATAAACAACTAAATAAAAGAAACACAATAAAAATGTCTAGAAATCCGATCAGAGGTAGTAGTTTCCGAATCGCTCCTTCCACCCTTGAAATTCTTGAGCTAAGCCTTCCGTCTTACTTGGTCGAATTTCAAATATGCAGAAAAGAAATAAAACACAAATTAAATCTAATAAAAAACAAATTTGCAGGAAGAAAAAATTAAACTGGAAATTAAAGAACAGAAAGTAATTCTAAAACTGAATAAAAAAATGTGGTTGGGACTCAAATCCAGAGGTGGTAGTAGTGGTGTTGGCGAACTGCAAGTAGGAACCCCTCCTCTTGCCTGAGTGTCATCTTCCTCTACCCTTGAACTTCTCAAGATCAGCCTTCCTTCTTACCTGGGTGAATTGACCAGCCTCTTCTCCAGGGCCCCTGGGGTCCTTTCTATAGAGAATGGTGGATATAACTGGGATTAGAGAGAAAGAGGGGGGCAGCAGTTAGGTTTTAGCAAAAAATATGAGTGCCCTAGGGTTTAGAATGAAGGGTTAGGATGGTTCTAGGTTGATCCTAAGGCTAACAAGAAAAGGAGAAGGCACCCAATATTATGTATGGCTGAAATTTAATGGCTAAAGATTGAATGGTGAAGATTAGAAGTTAGGTAGCTCCTAGGGTTAGAATGCTGAAAAGAGAGTGCCCTAGAATGGATGGTGGAGATTAGAAGGGATGGAATGTGAGGATTTAGCAGTTAGGGGCGGCTAGGGTTTGTTAAGAGTGAAAAGAATGAGTTAAAAGGCGGCCTAGGGTTTGCTAAGGAGTGGGGAGCATGCTAATACAGTAGAAGGGGCGCCAAATTGGGTTTAGCAGCTTGGAGGCACCCTCCTACTTTCAGTTTTTCACAAAAACACCCCTCTCTCAATTAGACTTCACACCAACTTCCCAAAATCTGCATTTCAGCCATGAAAACTTCCCAGTTTTGCACAGAATTCGCATAAAGACGCTCAGAGGTCACAACATTGAGATTAACTGGGAAAAGTACACAATTTGACTACTCTAAGGTTGAAAATACCCCTGAATTGATGCCCTTAAGGCATCAAAATGCAGAGTTATCAGGGGGCAAATGATGTAGGTGCTTTTGGCAGGCCACTGGCACGTCGACACATAGCCGAGGGCAGAGTCAATCAATGTGTCCTCAGGAATGGGAATGGGAATTGAAATCAAAAGGAATGAGATTTTATTCCTAAATGAGGGGCAGGGAATAGCCATTCTCTAAGATGGGGGAAGGCCATTCCAGAAGGAATGGGAATGGGATTCCAATTCCGGGAATAAACATTCCCTAAGATGGGGAAATACCATTCTAGCAAGAATGGGAATGGGATTTCAATTCCGCCAAACCAAAATGATACATGTTATGCCATTGCAATTGTACATAGCAGCAAGGCTTTGTAATTAGAAAACCCTACAATCATCATCAACATCGTTGTTCCATTGTCAGTTCACGTCTATTTATCGCATCTGCACTAGCAAGCAGTAGTAGTAACACCTTGGAGGTGAGAGAGATAAGTGAGAGAAGAAAAAGATGGCAGTAGAGAGGCCACTCTATCAACTACTTCGTTCATCTTCCCCACACAAAGGTCATTTCCCTGCACCCAATGTTTTCAACCCATTGTTGACCTGGGCAATTGAACGGTTCAAACCGTCACCTTGCCTTAATTCCAAGTCCGGTTCTACTAAAATCCACCATTTGGTCAAAAAACATTGACCTAGTAAAAAAAATCATCCAAGTCGTGTGATTCAACCATTGACCTATTTGACTCGATCATTGGATTATAGGTTGCACACTCAATGCATGTGCAATACTTCTAGAGGCGGGTGATCTTTTTTTTATTTTGGTAGTTTTCCGAACCCATTAATTTTGCCAAAAAAATCCTTTTTTGGGCCTCAAATAAATAAAAGGCAATCTAGGAAGTACCCAAGAGTAGGTGTGTATAATTAGTTAATTCAATTCGATTCGATTAGAACCAAGGACCTAACTAACTATTTAGTTTGACCTTTTTCTCCAACCAAACCGAACCGAATTAGAGTTCAGAGCCAAACGGGCCCTAACTGATTCCAGTTCGGTTTGGTTCTATTTTCGGTTCAATTGGGCCCTAATTCCACATAAATGGTAAATATTCATCAATTAATGAATAATTAATAATTAATAAGTGTTATTAATTAAAAGTTAGAATAGGCCCAAAGCCCAATGCCAATAGAGAATTGTCGAAGCCATTATTCACAAACAATTAATAATTAGTTTAGGTTTTAATTAACTATTATTAATTAAAAGTTATAGTGGACCCAAAGCCCAATGGGGAATTGCAAAATTGGTCAATAGCAAAGATAATAATTAATAAATATAAAGTATTAAATAGAACACTAAATATTTAATATACTTAATTAAATAAAAGCACTAGTTCGGTTCAGTTCAAAATTTTAGTCAAACTGAATCGAAATTGAAAAGTGACTCATAAAAACAAAAACGGAACCAAACTAGCTTATTCAGTTTCGTTTGGTTCGGTTTATGGTTTATCATCCAAATTTGAACACCCTAGTAGAAGTTAGGACACAAAACCCAATAAAGAAAATCACATAAACCTAGTTAGATGGAAATGGGAGGGAAACATATCAATACATAAAAGAAAAAAAAAATCATGTCTAAAAGTAGACAAAATAAAATAAGTAGATCTATATTGCAAGTAAGGCGGCTGAAACAGGTATCATTCACCTTCAAAAGGTAGTTGCAAAGAATGTGAGGTGCATTGAGCATAAAATCATAAACAAGGTTCAAAGTATTGGAAACACAAGGTGTACCGGAAAGACAATTTTAAAAGACATATCGGGATACACTTTGGATATGCATGGATATAGACGAAAAATCAAGATACACATAAATATGTTACGAAATTCAAATAAATCATAAAAAATATATTATTAACAATACTTACAAGTTTTATATGATTGCAAAAAAACCATTTAAATGTAAAAACCATGATTTAATATTTATAAAAAATGTGACAGATCGAGATATAATTAGTAACTGTAAAAAAAATGATGGAATAACTAAAATGTGAAAAAAAAAAACAAAAAAAAACTAAAATGTGAATGTATATACATCAATTTTCAAATAACCAATATAATTATCTTAATATTTATTAGTATATAAATTTTAATAATTAATTTCAGCATTTATTAATAAGCACCACTAAGAAAAGACAAAATTGACTTAAAACTAAAATGCATATAATTACAACAAACAAATTAAAGTGGTTTAATGGTGAAGCTATGGGCATTTAAATCTAGTAAGAGAGTTAGCTAGATAATAGAATTATTGAGAGAATTGTAATTAGACATTAAAATTTAAATTTGCCTTATATATAAGAGTAATTAACTAATTAATTAAGAAGTTGGACTTGAACCGATACAAATTAGAAACGGCACAAAACGAGCCTGTATCGGACAGACAAAGAAACGAAACTCATGATTTTTACACGTTCTGTGTATTCGTTCCTTATCAGAATGGTGCATATCACCCAATACATTACGATATTTTAAACCTCGAGCATAACACAACTTGGATTAGCTGAGCACAATGGCTGTATTTCATATATTTTGACTGTAAGGCATTATCATTGGTTTTAAAGTCCATTAAACAGCCAATACGTTCATCTAATCCAATCATATCCCAACAATGTTAAGACCAATCCAGTCGACCCATACGGTAAGGTAGCTGATAAAAAAAACGGTAAGGAAACGAGTCCTGGAGGATATTCCTTTTTAGGTCTGAACTCAATTTATTTGACACAAACTCCCTTTTGGTCTTTATGATTCTTCTAAGATTTGTCCATTGTTTTAATTACAAAAATACACTGCTACTTAACTCACCCACAACCATTGACAAAATCCCAAATTTTTGTAACTGAACCTTACCTTGTAAAGGTCGGCTGCAAAGCCCGTTCATAGGGTAATTCAGATAGGTTCAACCCTTAAACCCTAAAACCAGCTAGGGTGGGAGTCGGTCACAAGAATTTGAAACCAGACCCTACCCTGTAACAGATTGGATAGGGATACTTCAAAACCAGTTCAAGGTTGGTTCCAAGTAAAACCTACCCATTTATTCGAACCAACCCAAAAATACAGTGACAAATATCGCCCAACAATGTTGGGATGGGGTCGAACCAACCCAAAAGCCTACCCATTTAATCGTCCAGAAGATTTTGTTGCAAACAATGAAGAGAGTACAATCAGTTTGAAAAGCGCTGCGACAAATTACTACATATTAAACCAAGACAAGTACATGCAACATAGTATAACGCCTGTTGACTGAAAAAAATTGTGATATAAAGAAATGAATGCACCGTGTTGGTTTTACTTTTACTTCATTTGAAATACATGCTGTGCTCCCAGAAATTTGTTGCCTACCGTAAATAATCTTAGTCACAAATATCGCCCAAACTTGAACGTTATGGAGTCGACAAACCACTGCGCAGTAGCTGCTATCCTGCTCAACCAACACTTTTTAGGCCACACGGCAGAATGGATGACTACAGCTAAGAACCATTAAAAGAATTATGCAAAATAAAAAAAAAAAAGATTCAAAATGTAGGAGAACATTTATCCTACTTCAATTTTACAGTTACATCTGCTGCTAACAAGTATGATTTCATAGAATATATGGACAACCAGTTCAGTTAGTCTTCTTCTCAGCTGCTGCATCAGTGCTGGATGAGGTTTGATCATCGTCTTCGCCACCAAAGCCAAACTCATTAACGCGTTTTTTGTCCACTGGATAAATCCACCTCTGGTAAAGATATATAAGAAAGATAACATCTGCAGCAGGTAATAGAATAAAATCAAAGTTAATAAAAAGTAGGCAAAAGAAAAACCATATAAATGGAAGCTATTTCTTGAATGAAATGGTCACAACTTGTAGAACTGCGTTACCCAACAATACAAAGTCTCAAGATGAACAAAAAAAAAGCCTCATTAATTGATATATTGGTTCTAGCCTTGCAGGATTTGAATAGTTAAAGTAGTTCAACTTATTGCAGTGCAGTAATCTCAAGCAGATGGTAACACCTCCAAAAATACAAGCGATTGAAAATTTAGGTTACCCTTCACAGACTAACACGTGGAGGACACACCAAACAGAACTACAACACCCTCCCCCCCCCTTCTCACCCGACAAGCCCACACATAAAGGAAGAAAACAAATTAAAATGGTAAATGTGGACTTAATATAAATCCTCCAGGGAAAAACATTCTTTGCTTCCAGAATCATGATGTTTTTGAATAAATAGAAATGCCATCCCAGAAAGAAAAGGATTTGTAGCTTTTTTCCAGTGATTTAAAAGGTGTGCCTAATCGCACAGTTGAGGCGCATTTTAGGGTAGGTGCCTCGCCCAGGTCCTAGGCACAGCCCTTTCAAAAGGTGCACGCCTGGTGCGCCGTGCGCTTCAGCCCAGGCGTGCGCTTTTTGAAAATTTGACGCTTTTTTGCTTTTTTTTGTGTCTAGTGGCTAGAGTTGTTTGGGCTTGCCTCGAGGGGCGTGGCACAAAGGCGGATCATAGAATCAGGAATGTAATATGTTTTACATCACATTAGCTACTTGAAGTAATGCAACTGAGAAAAAAAGAGAATGAGGGTTTTATATGCTTGAAAATGTTTTATATGTTTGATTTTATTTTTAAATTCTCACTTGAATATGCTTTACATGTTATGTTTATGTATTTTAACTTTAGATAATAGATTTTTTAAAACATTTATCTTAAAATTTAAGTTTATATTTTTACTAATATTTTGTTTAATAATTTTTTTTTTATTTTTTGGCATCTTTTTTTTTATTTTTTACACCTTGCTTAAAAAAATGCGCAACTCGCCTTGCGCCTCGGGCGCAAATTGACCCTTGCACCTTTTTTGTGCCTTGTGCTTTTAAAACGATGTTTCTCCATCAACAAGGCAGAGAAAGGGTATAAATATAGAGCATTAACCATGGGAAATTCACAGAGAAATAAAATCTCAACAATAATTGTAATGATTAATGAAGTTGAGCTGCTCAGCCATCTAGCTGAGGATGAAGTCAGGGGTTACTGATAAAAACATAACAAAAATAACAAAGGTATAATTTCTCTGTGCATCATGAGTTGTGCTTGTCATTATCCACCAAGTCAGCAGTGGAGGACAATTTCTCAGCCCAGGATAGAGAGCATAGGGCGTAGCCTTACAACTGCAGCAGTACCAAACTATTTCAATTAAAAAGATGTGTGATTTGGTACTGACTGCAGTAGTATAGCATTTGATTGTCGTTGAACAGAGAATTAGGGAAACATCATAAATTGCTGTTAATTTCACTTACCATCTCGGAAAACAGACAGCCTATGGAGCATTGGCATTTTTATGACAAAGGCAAAGAGATCATCAATAATGGTATTGAGGAACTTGTATGTCATCTGTCTCCAAGGAAGATGAGCAACCGACTTCAGCTTGTAGTTTATGAACAATTGAGGACACATCATGATGAACCCTGTCAGAAGAGAGAAACCAAAAAAGACAAAAAACCACGAGTTATTAAAGATTGCACATTATCAAGACTACAGGAATAAATAAATAGAATGCTTCACAAGTGTCCACTAAAATCAAACCAAGGTCAGTTGCAGCCCAAACTACCCCCTTCCAAAAAAAACAAAGAAACTTGTCCCAATTTCTTCTTTTAACACAGATTCAATCCATATCTAGAGCAATCCAACCATCAAATGTGAAATTTTCTCAAGCAATCAAATTTGTTGTCCATCAGACCCATTCAAGATTGCCTTATGGTTTGAACCGTAGCAATAGGAAAGTGTCTTAACAATAAATAGGTTAATAAGGTGCAAATCGTGTATCCAACTTGGAGAATTTACACAGCATTGATTCAAATTTCCACAAATGTTCAACCCATGCGTGCCCAAGTTGCAGCCCTATAGTTAAAGTAGAAGAGAAATGGAACTAAAAGCATGAATAGTTCTGTATGATCAATAGCAATAACAATCATACATCATGCAGTTCTGCACTGAACACTTTGCTCTGTCCTGAACCAAATTTTGGAGATCTTAGATCCTTGTTCTATAGTCTAAGTCTACTTTTCTATTTAATAAATGAAAGAGATGATGAGTAAGAAGCAAAAAGAGATAAAAATTGTATGTTCCCTTTCGAAATTATTTTGGCAGTTTGAAGTGAAAGGAATGCACAAACATCTAAACACAAAAACAGCACAAAAGAGATTTCCCCAAGGATGTTCTCATGGTCATCCAAACTACAAAGAAAGTACAGAATAAGATAATCAGTCTTTTAATTAAAGCTAAATTGAGTGTGTGGAGTAATGCTCCTGTCTCAATACTCAAACACTATACCACTTAGCTCTATTTGAAAATGAAGTCAATTTGTAATTTTCTTTCCATGTTTGTGCATTTATGACCGGGAAATGAAGAGTCCTCACAAAAACAAACCATGACTAGGGATATATCAATGACATGACTAACACTGGAGTGGATCTTAACATCTTATTGGAGTGTCAGTTCTAAAAATCTATCAGAATACACTCCAACTAGCATAAAAATGATTTCCTACTACTTAGTTGTAAATCTAAAGTTCTGGTGTCATGTTACCATATAGAAATGCAATTCTGTCATCTTCTGAACTTTTTTTTTATCAGCAGCAATTCTGCCATCTTCTCAACTTGGATAGTTTCATGGTCTTCCACTTTGATATATGGCATGTGTAACAAATATTCGGGTAGCCATCATGCTTACTTATGAAAACCACAGTGACACAATCATCATCATCCATGCCTTGTCCCAACTATGTTGTTGGCTACACGAATCCTGTTTTGCCAATTCATTCTATTTGAAGACATTCCACCATTAAATTATTAGTCCTCATATCATTTGTTGCTACTACCCATGTCCTTTTAAATTATTAGTCCTCATATCATTCCACCGTTAAAAGAGTTTTCTCAATGCCAAATATATTGGATATGTACAAGGGTGTGATATCATGACGGGTACGTATGTACACACACATACGCAAACTCCTGCTAACAAATAATGCAAAAGTGCCTATATATCAGGACAGCCCAATCCTTGTGTCCAATCTAGCTGAGTCACAACATCAGTAATTCCAATCATCTTATCAGTAAGGGGCTTGTATTTCATGTAAACCTCAAATCTAGGAGGACAACACAAAGAGGGGTTTTTGGACAAAGACGGTGGGCCATGACATCCATGGCTGTTATGCTAGCAAGGTAGCACCGGCCTATCAATAAACTACCATGGTTTGTTGAGCATCAAATTCATGGATTCAAGTGCTAGTGATTGTTGAGATTGGGCTGATAACACTTGTTTTGTTTATAAAGTTTACTTGGAGTTATTGGGCCCAAGGCCTATTAGTTTGTCTTAACCAAGAGTGTTTTCTTATGCTCTTTATTAGTAGCCAAAGGGTATTCTTGCCTTTGTGTTTAGATTTTTTATGAGTATATAAGATAATGAAAGGGAGCTGCCAGATCTGATTTTGGCTTGATACCATTCTTCTCAATTCTTTTCTTCTTCTCTTCTCTCCAAAATCTTCTTTTCTCTTTCTTTTCTATCACAGGTTTCTAATCAGATTGCTGTTCTTGCACTTTCTACTTGGTATCATAGCAAGACTAAGGTTTCTTTGGAGTTCTTCCATGCACCCTAGGTCGGCCAACTGCATGAGAAGATAAAGAGCTGATTGATATACTTTAGACTGCTCAGTTATTGGATTTTTTTGGTGGGGTTCAGTCATCAGGAGGGTGATCTGTATTTTGGCATCAAAATTAGGAAATTTTTGACCTAATACTGGAGTGCGGGAGGTGGCAGTTCAGAAGCCCTTTGGAGGGATTTCTCTTCAGGTAGGATTTTCTTCCTCCAGAAAGTCCTACCCTTGTGTGTGAAATCGATCTAAATTTAGAAGCTTTCTACCTGATTATTTCTTATTTATGACCTAAATGAAATCAAAATAGAAGGTTGGAGTACTGAGCAGAAAGTCCACCGATGGCCTAGGTCTGGGTAGAAGAAGTACCAATGACTCTTTTGGGTTTGGGATTATTCCCATTGAAAAATGAATGGTACAAATTATTTAGAATGGACACAATCACATAAGGTGGAATTTGGAGTTCATGGGAAATTGCAGTACACCACTGGGGAGGAGAAAAAACCTAACACAGATTCCTCCTGGTAGGCACAGGAAAATTACATGGTTGTACAATTCTACATTATCCCATATAAGTTGTTAGAATGCTCGAGTCAGGGGTATTTTGGTCATTTTGGTTTATCTTCTTGAAAGTGAAAGGTCTATTGTATCTGAGTTTAAGTTATGTGTCCCATCTTCTATGAGGGACAAAATAGTCTTTCTTGTAACTCTAAGTTTTATGAATAAAATTCAAGTGGGTCGGCTAGGAGAGTGGGATTTTTACATTCTCTCTTCTAGTTTGGCCGAATACTCTTCTTCTCTCCTTCTTTCTCTTTTCTTTCTTCTTTCTTCTCTACTTTGACCTAGAATCAACTAGAGTTTATTCACATGGTATCAGAGCAATAAGATCTCGTGTTCTCTCTTCTTGCTGCTGTCCTTTTCCTGGGTTCGCCGCCAGCTTCACAGTAGTTCTCATCTTTCAGCTGACCTGATTGGAGATTCGATAAAGGGCTGAAAAAGGAGTTGTCGTTTTGAGGGCCTGGAGGTGAGAATGCCTCTGGTCGGTACTGTGGTGGTCGTTGAAGTGGTACACTAGACCCTCTATTCAGTGTACAAAGAGGGCTGAACGTAGACAGGTATGAACACTGCTGTTGTGTGCTCAAATAATGGACTGTGAATGCTATTTTGTGCTTCAAAAAGTTGGTTGTTGTGGAGCATGGTGAGACTGAAACGCATATCAGTCATGTTCTTTTTTTTTCTTGCTCATATGTGTGCTAAAAGAAGAGTCGTAGACTGCTGAAGTCCACGACAGCAGTGGCGTGGTGGTGGTTGTGTCGTGGTGGCTGACATATCTATGATTCTAAATGCTTAAAAGTGAACTCCTAGACCTTGCGTGTAATCAGTTCTACAGTATGAAGAACAAGTGTTCAATAAAATGACGAGTGTTTTCAGCCTTGGCGTGTTGATGGTAAATGGTCCTGCAGTGTGCAGTCAAGGTGTTTGATGTGTTGACTGAATGATTTCAGTAATTGTGCTACGTCTAAGAGTAGTAGCACAATTACTGAAAGCCAGCAAAATGACCCAACCCCCTCCACATCTGCTTGTGCTTCTGGGCAGGAAATGGTGAGTGTACCACGTGCAATATATGAGCAGTTCCTTCAAACATCTCAGCAGAACACCGCTACACTTGCCCATTCAGGTATGGCTTGCTTAGCTTCCAAAGCCTCACCCTAGAACATTGACTCCGGAGCCTCGGACCATATGTCTGGGACTCTTGATGTATTTTCTTCCCTTTCTCGCTCCTCCACATCTCAAACAATTACACTTGCTAATGGTTCTACATCTCCTATCTGTGGTGTTGGTGATGTTGATCTCTCCTCCTTGTCTTTAGCATCTGTTTTATATATCCCTAAGTTCCCTTTTAATCTTATGTCTGTTAACAGATTAACCAAGTCCCTTAATTGTTCTGTAACTTTCTATCCTTCTTCTTGTGTGTTTCAAGATCTCAAGACGGGGAAGAAGATTGGTGGAGGGCATGAAGCAGAAGGTTTGTATTACCTTGATGGTGCTGGCCCCCTAGTGGCTTTTCAGTCGTCTCTTACTCCTCTCCAATGACACCACAGACTTGGTCATCCCTCTCTCAAGGCTTTGAAACTGCTGGTTCCTTCCTTGAGTCATCTTTCATCATTAGATTGTGAGTCATGTCAGTTGGGAAAACATCATCAAGTCTCATTTAGTCCAAGAATTGATAGCCGTGTCTCAAGTCCTTTTGCTTTAGTTCATTCTGATGTATGGGGTCCAGTTAAAGTGGTGTCATATAATGGGTTTAAGTATTTTGTAATCTTTGTTGATGACTTTTCAAGGATGACATGGATCTATCTTATGAAAGACCGTAGTGAATTGTTCTCTATTTTTCAGAAATTTCATGCTGAAATWCGCACTCARTTTGGTGTTMATATGAAAATACTTCGCTCCGATAATGCCAAAGAATACATCTCCTCAYCATTTCAGCAATACCTAGAACATCATGGAATAATTCATCAAACTTCTTGTGCCTACACCTCGCAACAAAACGGTGTAGCTGAACGGAAAAATAGACATCTTCTTGAAGCTACTCGGTCCTTGACAATCAATATGCATATCCCAAAGAATTTTTGGAGTGATGCTATTCTTACATCTTGTTTTCTGATAAATCGGGTGCCCATGTCAATCCTTGGAAGTCAATCCCCTTTCTCCGCGTTGTTTCCCACTTTGTCTCCATTTCCTCTCACCCCAAGAGTCTTTGCCTGTGTTTGTTTTGTTCAACACTTGGGGCCTGGAGTAGACAAGCTAGATGCTCGAGCTACGAAGTGTATTTTTCTTGGCTACTCGAGGACTCAGAAAGGGTATAAGTGTTATAACCCAAAATTTCATAAATCGTTTGTGTGCTCTGATGTCACCTTCTTTGAATCAGTTCCATTTTTCTCAGATGCCGGGGTCTCTTCTTCTCCCTTTATGGTTCCTCTTCCTGTACCGGTTGTGGACACTCTTCCCATAGCTCCCATTCCTACTGCAGATGCACATCATATGCCTGTTACTACAGAGAGGCCGCCAATTACTCAAGTGTATACCCGCAGAAGTGTTTCGGCCCCTCCTCCACTTCAGCACCTGTCGACAGATCCTGCTATTGCTCCTTCCCCCTCAGATCTTGATCTCCCTATTACTCAAGTGTATACCCGCAGTTTTACATGCACTCCACAATAGAATGGTGTAATAGAAAGGAAGAATAGGCATATTGCAGAAGTAGCAAGAAGTATGATGGTAAGTTCTACATTTCTAGTTCGATATTGGGGTGATGCAGTTCTTATAACAGTTTTCTTGATTAATCAAGTACCCTCTAATGTTCTTTGATACACTACCCCGTTTAGCCTTCTATTTCTTGAGGGAGAGATATTCCATGTTCCTTCGAGGCTATTTGGATGTGTATTTTTGTCCACATTCTTGGTCCTTACTGCTCAAAGCTAGGTCCTAAGGCTAAAAGGTGGGTTTTCCTTGGGTATGCAAGAAACAAGAAGAGGTACTTGTAATGATATGGTTTCAGGGAGTCGCCATGTCACTATGAACGTCACTTTCTTTGAGTCCAACCTTTTTCTTAGGGAGTTCTTCTCAAGGGGAGTGTTTTGGGGAAAGAAGTGAACAATCTAGACTTCCCATTCCAACTTGTTTAGTCGGCTCCACTATGTCCTGCCTCTCAATTTTTTACGCGACAGCATAGGGAGGTTGATCCTACAACAGAGGAACCCACGCCACTCCCTATCAACTCATTGGAGATTCCAGGTTCAATTGGCACAGACCCAGGTATGCCTCTTGCTCCCTCTGATGGTTCAGTTCCTATTTATATTACTACCCTTGTTTCTAACACCATTGCAGATGACCTAGACCTCCCTATTGACTCCAAAAAGGGAAGAGGAAGTGTACAACTCACTACCTTTGTTGGTGAGGCTCTCTCTAAACCTGAGTGGAAGACAACTACGCAAGAGGAAATAGAAGGATCAATTAAAAATCAAACATTGGAGGTTGTAAACTTACCTGATGGCAAGGAGACGGTTGGAAGTAGATAGGTTTATACAACGAAGTACAGGGCTGATGGAAGTAAAGAAAGGTACAAGGCGAGGCTGGTCGCAAAAGGGTACACTCAAACTTTTGGAATAGACTACTTGGAGACCTTTGCACCGATGGCGAGGATGAGTTCAGTTCGGATCCTCTTATCTCTAGCAACTACCTACTCTTCGCCCCTCTTCCAACTTGATGTGAAGAATGCTTTTCTTAACGAAGACTTGCAGGAGGTGTGCATGGACCCTCCAGCTGATTTTACATGTGGCCAAAGGAAATGTATGTAGATTAAAAAAGTCTTTATATGGTTTAAAACAATCACCCAAAGCTTTGTTTGACAGGTCTAGGAGTGCAATGACTGTATTTGGCTATACTCAAACTTAATCTAATCATACTCTGTGAGAAGGGGATCATTGGTGTCGGTGTCGATAGTGTATGTGGATGATATTGTAGTCATAGGAAATGACTTGAGTGAGATTGATACCTTGAAGAGGACCCTACACTAAGAGTTTAAGGTGGCAAAGTCCAAGCATGGCATCGTCATTTCACAGAGAAAGTATGTTTTGGACCAACCACAGGAGACAAGAAAACTTGGGGCAAGGCCAATGAATACACCTATTGATCAGAACCATAGATGAATGCTTTAGATGGTGAGCTAGTGAAGGATATTGGAAGATATCAGAGATTGGTGGATAGGTTGCTATACTTACTGCATGACCAGACATCTCTTATGCATTAGTGTGGTAAGTCAAATAGTCAATACATGCATGCTCCACGAGTTCCAACACTAGGAGGCTATTGACAAGATATTTGCCTATTTGAAAGGACACCTAGGTAGAGGCATATTGTTTGTTGATTATGGACACTTAAATTTCGAAGCTTACATAAATGCTGATTGGGCAGACTGCCTAGATGACAGGAGATCTACGTTAGTAATTTGCACTCTTGTAGGAGGTAACCCGGTTTAATGAAAGGGTAAGAAACAATCAATTGTAGCAAGGTCAAGTGAACAAGCTGAATACAAACTATGGCACATGGTGTTTTAGAGCTCCTCTAGGTCCATGTTAGGAGAGATTGGAATTGAAGCGGAAGAACTTATGATGCTATAATGTGATAATCAAGTAACACTTAACATTGCCTATATCCCAATTCAGCATGATAGGACAAAGCATGTAGAAGTGGATATACATTTTATAACCCAACTCAGCATGATAGGATGCACATATAATGTGATAATCAAGCAACACTTAACATTGCCTACCATATGTTGCATCTAACAAATCTAACTTATAATTAACTAATGTTCTCACAAAAGGTATTGCAAGAAACAAGCTTGACCATGATCTACGCAAGTTGGGAATCTGTGACATCTATTTCCAACTTGAGGGGAAGTGTTGAAATTGGACTTATAACACTTTTTTGTTTATAAATTTTAGTTAAGAGTTATTGGGTCAAAGGTCCATTAATTTATATCTTGTAAAGAGTGTTTTCTTAGGTTATTTATTAGTAGCCAACTTACTAAGGGTATACTTGCCTTTGTATTTAGATAATGAAAGGGGCGGCCAGATCTGATTTTGGCTTGCTCCCATTCTTCTCAATTATTTTCTTCTTTCCTTCTCTCCAAAATCTTCTTTTCTCTTTCTTTAATATCACGGGCTTCCAATCAGATTGCTGTTTTTGAACTTTCTATTATGATCTATTAGGGTGACAAACTATGTAATACAAACAGAAATAAAATGCTCCATTGTACTGCAAAGAACCTGAATCTGTGGGTGTCCGATATCAAAAAACATCAATCCATTCTGGTCAATATGCATCAATGGTACTGGTGATGGTAAAATACACATAAGTATGTACATATGCATGCAGAGTGCATGCATAGAGAGTATATATATTCTTATAATGTTGCCAACCATAACAACTATCCTAAATCTTTTTTCCCTCTTTTGAAAGAGCTACAACCATCCCAAATCTCCATATTAAATTATATGCAGAAGGAATAACATGTTAATTTCTCTTATGATAGAGAAGTGCAGCATCATATAAGAAAAACAACCATCTAAGGACCCAGAAAAGATCTAATGAGCTTCCAATGTCAGTTTGTCTTTAATGTCACTAGTTCCATATGAAACATTTTAATTTATATACAGGTATAATAAAAAATGAAAATGAGAGAATAAAAAGAAAAAGAGGTGAAAGAGCTTACCAAACATGTAAACACAGCTTGTAAGTGAGGAAAGGATCCAAGAGTACCAACTTTTATGTCGCTCATACATTAGAGAATAAACAGAAAAGCATGCCACCAAGAGAAAGAGCACATAAGATAGATACTTCATTGCAAGATCATCATACTCCTTTGTCTTGTTTCTTGCATATGATTCCCGGTCTTTAAATCTCAATACAGGTATCCTTCCACTTCTATCAATCTAGAGAAAGAAGTACGATTGATAAATAGTGAGAAGCTAGCACCAAAGGCCTTAAAAGAGGGAATAGAGAGTTCAAGCAAAACTTAAGCTGCATATGCATAATAAGGTGAAACAAAGCGTAAGCTGGATAATAATATGGTGCCTGATGTGTGAAATAGGAATTTCTGAATATACAACCAAAAGAATTTCCAATAAGGTTAGTTTTTCAATAGAGAATCACTAACGTGTGAATGGGTCCAACCATGCCATGTAGGGCTGTCAATGGAGTCTTGATGTCCAACATAGTTGTCAAGGCGATGCCTAGGCGACAAGGCGCCCTTGGAGTCTCGCTTCACCTAATCGCCAAGCCGTTTTCTATAGCGTGTTATAACAAACTTTTATATTCTTAATTTTTTTGAGGTTATAATTAGAAAATATACATTTTTAAATGTTGTATTGAACCAACACAAACATTGCTAAATGCTTAATTTGTTGTTTTCTTATTTGTTAGGGTTTAATCAACACAAACATTGCTAAATGCTGTATTGAACCCTCAAACACTTCAAAACCTGAACCAATAAGTAAGAAAGAACAGAAATAGGGGTCCAGCCCCTATTTTTCGAATTTTCTTTTCTCTCTTCTTTTTCTTCTCATGAATATGTTGGAATATGTTGATTTTCTATACTTTAACATGAAGTTTATACTTTTCTTATGAAAATTATGGATATTTATTAAGGAAATATGCCTATGGAACCTAGGGAACTACCCTAGGATACATGTTTTTCCTTAAAAAAATCCATCGCCTAGGATCTTGACCATACACACATATTATTTCAGATTTGGATGGTCACATTTACATAATAGGATCTTGACCACATCGCTTCAATTTAAGATCCAAGTCCAATTAAATTTCATATAATACATATTATATAATTATACCATACACACATACATGGACAACATACAATTATATAAATTTTATAAATAATAAATTTAGTATTCTATATTTTTATATTTATAAAGTATAAGTGATTACCTTTTAACATCTAATTTTTTTCATTTTAAGAATAATGAAGCAACTCATATTAATTCCAAGTCCAGTATGAAACCTGGTAGGATCTGAATCCAATCCAAAACCTCCAGATTCAATCAGATTCAGACTTTTTTTGGAAAATGGTAATTCCTAATTACAACTTCCAAAAGAATTATTGTGATAAAAAGTTTGGAAACTCATCAATTTCTCGGTGGATAAGGATCAAGGTTCAATGTATTGATATTTCAATTTTCAACTGACCATAACTTTTTTTTTTACATTTTTTCTCAAAATTGGTCTGGGGGTCGGTCTTAGGCCTATCTACATCCTGAAATTGTTCAAAAGCCCAAAAGAACCTTATTTAGAATATCAGTGGCCTGCTAATTGTTGCGAAATTTTGATCCTTGGTAAGGATTTCTAAGAGAGTAAATAAATAGTAATTCCATGCATAGTTGTAAAGGTGATGCCTAGGAAACAAGGCTCCCTTGGAGTCTCGCCTCGCATAATCGCCAAGCAGTTTTCTATTGCGTGTTATAACAAACTTTTATATTCTTAATTTTTTGAGGTTATAATTATAAAATAGACATTTTTAAACTAAAATACTCATTTTGTGTGTTTATATACTAATTTCTTTTTGTTATTTTTTTATTTGTTAGAGTTTAATCAACGCAAACATTGCTAAATGCTGTATTGAACCCTCAAAGACTTCAAAACCTGAACCAATAAGAAAGAACATAAAATGTTGTCCCATCAACACATTTTCTTCTTTTTCTTTACTAATTTTGTGTTTTTATATACTAATTTCTTCTTCTTCTTCCACCTTGTCTTTTCATCTTCCTACAACAGAAATAGGGGTTCAGCCCCTATATTTTTTTAAATTTTCTTTTCTTTCTTCTTTTTCTTCTCATGATTATGTTGGAATATGTTGATTTTCTATACTTTAACATGATGTTTATAATTTTCTTATGAAAACTATGGATATTTATTAAGGAAATATGATTATGGAACCTAGGGAACTACTCTAGGATACATGTTTTTACTTGAAAAAAATCCATCGCCTAGGCGACTAGGCGCCCCCCTATCACCTAGCCTCGCCTTGGCGCCTTGAAAACTATGATTCCATGGTAAATTCAGAATCATGAAATAATTATTGAATACTTGTTCAACTAGAAACTTCAATGCAACTTCTCAGTTTAGTCAAGCTCCTATATCTTCTTAATCCAGCTTGGTCTGCTCCCTTGACTACATCCCTTACTCCAGCTTGGACTCCACCAGCTTTGGGGTTCATTAAATTGAACTTTGATGGAAGCAGTGAAGGAAACCCAGGTCTCTCAGGTATAGATGGTGTTTTCAGGGATGAAGTAAGTCGAATTATTGCCATGTTCTCAGGACCTATAGGTTGGGGGGGATCATTGAGAGCTGAAATTTTGGCAGCTCTGGAAGGGATTAAAAGAGCCCAGCAGCTGAAAATCAGCAAACTGTTGGTGGAAGGTGACTCTAGGCTGACTGTTAGCTGGCTGCAGAAGGAAGAGTCCAGTCTGTGGAAGTTTTCAAATGAAAAAAAGAAAATCAATCAGCTAACTCAAAACATGCAAATTCGGGTTCAGTAGGCTAAGAGGAGTCCTAACTCTCTGGCAGACACTGGCTAAACAAGGGGTGGGAAGAGCAATTTTTTTTTGGGGCATTGTTGTAATCTGATTTTTAATTTTAGGGATGGTTAAGAGTTTTTACCCCTCCCTTCTTTTTGTAATTTTCTATCATCGTTTTCTTAATAAAAGTTGCTGTTATTGATCAAATAAATAAAGCTCCTATATCTTCTTTAGGAATGAAAGATTACACAAGCTACAATGAGCTCATAGAGTGTACAAAATTTAAGCAACAACCCAATGAGAAAGAGATGGAAAAAAAGACCACACAAAATCTAATGAAATGATTATAGAGCTTACAAATTTCATTGACAAAACTAAGTTTAGGAAAGCTAATAAAAGCACTACCTATAGGCATATGTTTATCCAAATTTGCTTGATAATTAAGGCTAAAATCAAGTACATCCATAAGGAGCAAGAGATTCACCCTTGCAAATAAGAAAAAAAAAACACAAAGGTTTGAGATGCAATATACCTCTATGTGCATAGCTTTACCAATTTTCCAGAACTCGATACAGCAACCAATGCCAGAACTAGCAAGGATCATCCATGAAGTATCATTGTCAAGAAGATAGAGGAATACAATCAACTGGCATATAAAGCTCACAACAACCGACTTTGCAGACAGTCCTTCCATTGACTTGTTTTTGTTCCAGAACTGGATATCTACAATGTAACAATATATACAATAAATCAGCATACATTGCAGGAGAAAAAAGATCAAAACTTTATTACATACATATTCACTTACCATTCTTGAAAGCCAGGAAGTCAAATACAGAATGGAGTAATGATACAACCATTGTAATCGCCAAAAGATATGGGTTTCCTTCCAAGAAAACCCTCTGAAGAAGAAAAGAAACACAAATGTCAGATAATGAAAGAAAGGATTAATAAAAATAAATACAGGCAAGGGAAAAACATGGCCTTGTCCCTAAACTACATGGAAATTCCTAAAAGTTGAACTACACTGGACCACCAAAATAAAATTAATATGGAGAATTTTTCAGTAAATACAAAAAGTTTGACTAGCTCCTTGTGCTATATATGTATTAGGAAAAGATTTCATCTAACAATGAAATATGGTCCAGATAACCATGCTATTAAAATTCAAAATTGATCTTAACAAGTTGTGTGAAAAATATGGGCTTCATCTTGCATCCGCAATTCCTTCAACATTCATTTTTTTGGTAAATAAAAAAGTGCATCCAAAGGGTGATGAGGGATCACTGCTATAAAGATAAAAACAAAAGAACAAAAATTCAAAGCTTTCAGTTCTACATTAAGGATCAAATAAGAACTAAAGACCAATATTTACGCCTCTTCCCACTAAAGAAGACAACGCGATCCCTACTTTTTGCCTTGCCTTCGAAAATTCTTCGGTTTCTGTTTTTTTTTTATCAATAAAATTCTTCAGTTTCTTTCCTTCTAAACTTCCCCACAAGTCAAGGAAACTTGGGTTAATGAAACAACACTCCTTATCGAATTCATCAATAAACCCAAAAAAGACAAGGAGCACCAACACTGTGCATCTAATTCACAGCACCAAGGTCTTTTCCATGCTGGAAGATGGACTCATAAGTGTAGGTCCAAGTAGCAAATTTAAGAGAGTGTTTAGAAGGATAAAACTGAAAGGAAAAAAACTTGTTTAATCGAAGATCACAGAAGAGGTTTTGGCAAAAGAAGGGGTGCTGTTGGGGGAAGAGGATGTTTCGGAAGAAGTTAATGAAGACGAAGAGGTAGAGGGAGTGAAATTGGACAGAGTTTGAAAAATTAAACAAAAGGTGAATGGGGAAAAGGTGGTGGAAACTGGTTTCAAATTGGGTACGATGTTGGCCATTTTGGTTTTAGGAGGGAAAGAATACACTAGAAGAGCATTTCAGGACCTAGAACCACAGTACTCGCTGAGTGATGAAAGCCCTTGATATGTTTAGGGCTAGTTTAGAGTTTCCTGTTTGGGAAGATTTTTTGTTGGGTCAGCATTCTCAGTTTTGTCAACTGAGGGTTGTGTGAAACTGTGCAGGAGAATGTGCTACATCTGTGCTTTGGTTGCTCTTTCTCAAAGATCCTTTTTTTTTATCGATGAAACTTATGATATATTAAATTAAAATAAGTGAAAAAGCATTACAAGCTTAAATAAAGACTACAACATCAGCCTAATAACCAATACTATATTACAAAGATGACCAAAACAGATGCTGCCTATTTATCCCTTGTTTGGCAAGGGAATCAGCTAGCCCATTTGCGCTTCTTCTTTTTTTTTATCAATAACAGCACTTTTATTAAAAGAGATAAGTAAGATACAACCAGAAAGGAGGGGTAAAATGTCTTAACCCTCCCTTTCAAACCCGAAAAAACATATTACAGAATAGCCCAAAACAAATTAGATCTTCCCACCCCCTGTTTAGCAAAGGAGTCAGCCATGGAGTTGGTACTCCTCTTAGCCCATTGAAACCTTATGGTCATGTTCTGAGTTAGTTGCTTGATTTCTTTCTTTCATTTGAGAACTTCCACATGCTGGACTCTTCCATCTGCAACCATCTAACAGTCAGTTGGGAGTCACCTTCCACCTGCAACTTGCTAATATTCAACTGCTTAGCCTTTTTGACTCCTACAACTGCTAAGATTTCAGCTCTCAGAGAATCCCCCCAGCCTAAAGGTCCTGAGAACATAGCAATAATTTGCCCTTCTTCGTTCCTCAAAATACCACCTATGCCTGAAGGGCCTGGATTTCCTTCACTACTACCATCAAAGTTCAATTTGATGAAACCCAAGTCTGGTGGAGCCCAAACAGGTCTGATACCACTAGACATAGAAGCTGACCGAGCCACTTCTTCCCAGTTTCTAATGATGTCTCCTACTGAATAGGCTTCAAAAAGCTTCAAAGACTTGACCCAATGAGCCACCCTGACATATACAAGTTCTATGAGGGCATCCCTGCTTTTATCTTTTTCATGAAATAATCTTTGATTTCTTTCTTCCCAGACCGTTCAGCAAATAGCAGCTCTAGCGCATCTCCACAAAATTTTACCTCTCTTCTTTAGACCCCTCACTGGAGTGGAGCTAAACAAGCTTTGCACACTTGAAGGGGAGGGCCACCTACAACCAAATAAAGAAAAGAACCAACACCAAATATCTGAAACAAAAGGGCAAGAGACAAGCAAGTGATAGCAGCTTTCACCATTCTTCTTACATAAGATGCACCAATGTGGGGATAAACACCAATTAGGCC